TTAGGGGCATCACTACCTCACTAGGGAGGGAGTGATCTGTAGCTGTAAATAATTCCCCAAAATCAATAGCTCATTAAGTGTTCGACATTGGATGCTGACCACGTTGTTTAAGTGGACTTGTTTAGCTGAAGGCTTTCGGTCATGCATCCGCACCAGATCACGTTTCAATACTGCGTGGGACACAGCTCCTACGTTTCATTAGCCAGCTCATAGAAAAGGTCCTCGATATATTGGTAACGAATCAAATATATCTTTCCTGCCTCTTCTCGTTTGACTTCTGATTTTCTATCTGACTGGAAACAACCGAATTTAGAAGGTGCTACTGGTATCTAGTTGTAAAACTAGAATATCCGTTGCATCATCAATGCAATCTTATGGGTAACAATTAATTAACCATAAACAATGAAGGTTCTACCATTAGTTTATTTTAGCAAAAGTCCGCACATTTAACATCAGTATAAAAATAATAAAGAAATTGGAAACACATCAGTTTAATAAGTAACAGTCTTTTGAGGAAAACCAAATATGGAGTGTCTAAGTAAAGGACAAGTATGAAGAATAAATCTTTAAATTTAGTAACAAGAGGATGAATAGATGAATACATACGTACCACTAATATCAATTTCGAGTTACATCACGTGATATTCTCAGATGTATAACAATACTCGGGAGAACCTCAATCTGGAAATATAGTCTTACTACTTCGGTTTATCCTAGTAATCACTAACTCTACCGACTGATGTTATTTCTTGTACTGATCTCTTTTAGCTTTTTCATAACTTTTATCCTGACTAGAATGGCCTGTTAGGTTAATTGAGGACGTGTAACATGTACAGGCTCATCGGTAAGTTTACAATCTCTACCCATCACACTACCCCTAACCTCAACACCATACACGCAGTAGTTTCACTATACACTGGCTTTGAGATTATCCATGATCATATACATGAAACTTACAAATATCTTTCGCTTTTAAAGCCTATATTTTATACCCATAAATTAATAAGGATAAAACTGTTATGCGATATATTTATCCTCAGCTCGATATTTTTATTTTAGGTCTCTAAGCTTAATTAAATATCTCACAACATAGAATGTAAGAATCATCAAGAACACACACACCGATTTGATAAATATTAGTAATCTCTAAACCTATTATATGAAATTTAACGTCACTTCGCATTACAATCACTACACTACAATAAATATCTAAGATCAAACATTCGTGGCCAAACTAAGCACTTTTTTGGCTAGAATTTCAATACATATTATTCTTAAGTTTACTTTCTATCAATGTTTATATAGAGATGTTTACCATTTATTTCAATATGTTTGTATTTACATAATACACCTGGTGTAAAGAAATTAAATCATTTTTACTTTATTTGTATTTATGAAACTCCTAACCGACCAACTCACATATAAACAATGCAATAACAGTGAAGTTATTTCAATAAAGTACTTTGATCGTTTAAAACAGCGGAAGTACAGAGATAATTATGTATACATCACTGTACATATTGAGATATTTCTTGATATATATTGAGAACAAAGGATAACAAACAAACATTCGTTCTAACAACAACAAACATCGTGAAAGCACCCAAAATTATCACTGATGGGGACAGTAGCTTGCTTGTTTACTTATTTTTACAATAATGGCAACCGTGGAATGCAAATTAGTTTTTATACGATAAATAATCATGATTGAAACAAAAGAGAATAATAAAATTGATTTTGGTGGTAATGTAATAAGTTTTTTTGTGTTACAAAAGCACATACGTAGAAGCTTTACTTGAACAATTTTTTTAAGTAGGTAAGATAATTCTAGACTCTTTTATTTTATATTTTGACCTACTCTATGCACATTAACGGTAGAAGAGGTGTTTTGCTGGTTGTTCGGACAAGTTACAGATAACTTGGATAGGCATGAAAGAAGAATAACTAATTCAAACAATAATTAATAGTCGCACATGTTAACATATTCATTATGATTATGAACAAGGGATGTAACGTCTAGATATTTATACATTATATAATGAACTGAAGTGTTACATGAGGTTTTCGATTATTGTTGGCAAAAATTACCATTTGTGTACATAAGCTATACTTTATAGGAAATGCTCAGACGAGGCAACATATCCTTGGCTATGATGAAGACTGTGTTCCGACAAGTAATTTTATTACGAAGCAATCATATTAATAGGTTGGATGTGTCTCAAATAAGACTGTGTACTCCGAATTTAAGTTCTTGATCGTGTCATGTTGAAGTTCTAGACCTATTGGGATTAGTACTATTTCGCTATATTATTTCAAATTCACAAATACATTAATTAGTGACTCTGGAAATAAGTAGATTAAAAAGAGAGGTGTTTGGTCTACGTTCTTGTACAACAAAATCGCAATGGTTATGTTAGATAAGTATTTGTTTGTATATCATGTATGCTTAAGTGAGATTCTAGAAGTCTCATAAGTCCGTGAGTTGAGACGTTTCCTGGCATTGTTCAGTGGCAATACCACTTCAGTTTTCTGTTTTACTTTTCACAGACAGTCAAACATACCTTTGAGACAAGCAGAACCCATCTTTCTAGTTATAATGATATCAATTCATACTCCTACTCTTCTTTTTAACGTCAGCTGATTTTTTCTTGCATTTCTTCATAAGTCCATTTTATTTCGTGTGGTGCATTTCCTGAGACTCCTCTAGACCAAGCAATCTTTGCATGACAAATGGGATAAAATAAATTGCTTGTTTTACTAATCACTACTGTTGTAAATTAGCAACTACACGCAGAATATTATCTTGAGATTTTATGAACTACTCGGCAACCGATAAGAAACTGGATAAGATTTAGACCCACAAATTAGTGGTTTATATTCCAATGTTTGGTCTATGGAATCACAATTCTGCCAGCGTTACTCCACCCGTTTTTGTCTGAGCAGCAGTTTGGTACCACTCGTTCAAGTGTAAAGCAGATATCTCACAACCTTATTTTAGATCCTGTACTGTTTGTTATTACGATAATTTGTAGCTCCACTGTCAATGACTAGATAATATCGTTGGTAACAAATAGTCATAGTCTAATGTGAAAATATTTATTAGTTTCACTTATTTCATCTACTCCGTACTTCAGCTGATATATCGGTAATACTATCTTTGGAACTATATTGCCCTCTCCAAGAGCTAACATGGTATTTTAATTATAACACTGAGAATATCACAAAAATGTCTGGATGCGCGAAAATCCCCCAACAGTCATCTGTAATCTATTGGTTTTCATCCAATGAGTTATTAGGACAACTCAGAGAACTTTTTCGAACCGTCCACCAGTATGTTTGTGTACCACAACCAAGAAAAGGAGTGACTGAGAAACGTATTCTTAAATGTCACATAGAAACCAATATTCTGGGTTTATTGATGGGTTCATACCTAGCATGTGCAAATGACTCCGACACTTCTGATTAGGGAACTAAAACTTACAGGAGTTTCCTGCAACTGATCAGCTTATGGTAGTGATTTGAACCATATTTTATTCTAGTTAATAATTTGACAGTACATTTTGTGAAAAAAGTTATTGTTTGAAGGACTTATAAAACTGTCCTTGAGACACTACCAACAAATAGGTTGATTACTTCTAAATCTCCTTACTACCTGTCCTCTAACAGAGACATTACATTAGAAATCCCGCATCGCTATTTTATATTTCTTGTTGATATGGCTAATAATTGATCAAGGCCGTACTTCTTTTGTAAGTATTCATTTAGATGCGATAAACACCCAGTATGTGATCAGCTGCTAATCACAGAAACGCGGTACCAACAAGTCCAGTAAGATGATCCGTTTCATTTGTCCATAGATAAAGTTAATTTGGCGTGAATTTTCAAAGCTTTGTCCATAAATAATGTTCTCAACCGGGAAATTAACAATCAGAAAGCATCAGTCTGCGTAGCTATTATGATTTTTGAGTACCTTAAGGTGAAAATATATTTTGCGGAAGTCAGCACTTGATGTATTAACTGAAGATACTACACACAAATGAATATTACTTAGGTTAGTTCCAGAAGTTCTGACCTAACATGCTATGTCGAAAACGACTACTGTGACTAACTATCAACCATCTCTAAACCAACTGTTATAGTTGATGGTGAAGAAAGTCCCCTGTACTCCTCACCATTCTCTCACGCAGCCACCCATTTGTAATCTATTCCATAAAAGTCCTACTCACAGATTTTTTGTGGTCTTTACAGAAGTGTGGGAGCGAAAAGTGGATGTCAGGTCGACAAACCTGGTTGATGGAATACGGAGTTCATTTGAGGGAGCTGGGTAAACTTGGCTTCAAATCGACAATACATATATATATATAGCCTGTAAGACCTTGAGTGGACGAATGGTACACGAATATATCCTAGCTGCTGACTACCATAGGACTCTATCTCCTGCTGCTGTTTCTCTGTTTTGTGAACTAGATCTCCTTATATGCAGTCTTTATTATTACCAATGAAGCAACTGCTCCTATGAATTTGGTGTTGTGCTAATGACGTATGGCAACTTGGATTGATGTTTACATGTACCTGGCCCTACGCTGTAGATGACTGACTGGACCAAAAGCTCAGTAGTTTTTCTGAGGAAGTCACCCACTTCACTCTGAGATTGCGTACATTATCCCAGTTCACACAGTAAGTAATAATTGTGAAACTACTCAATTCGTTCAACCTCTTTAATCACTGAAACAACATTTGCAACCACTTTATTACAAATAAACCCATTTCGAAATGCTTTATCTTCCTATTAATTTTTACCTTAATTCTGTGTAAACTTCTATTCCTCAAGTTGTTCAGCAGCCCATATGTTGAAAGTTGTCCCAAACGGATAGTCTTGAGTAGCTGGATTGTCGATTTTAAGGATATTAATATCAAACAAGAAGTATGATACAGGTTTTCTGAAGTCGTATATGCCATTTAAACTCACTGGCTTTATGTCAGGACAATTTCGGTTATTTGCATCTTTACTAAACTTATAGTTTAAATACCATCATTCTTGTACTATTAAAACTTCAGAACTGATAATATGAAAGTTAGTCGTAACGTTACCTCTAAGCTCATTAACTCAACGGTATATCCTGTTCTACATTGGAGGATTGAAGATGGTTGACCAAAAGCTATAGATAAGTTTTTAACTTGGCAGAATCCAACAGTTATATTTTCAAGGGAATATCACATTGAAATCTGTCGTAGATAGTTAAACTAGTCAGACTTCATCCATCGTTTGATATATCCAATAATTATAAGCTCAGAAAGACCAGAAGGAACTTACTTAACTGGTCGACTTTAGACACAATAACTTTCATGAGGTAATGGTAGGAAGAATGATATGATAAGTACGACAGGACACTACTACTGTACTCAACACTAGTCACATTTATTAGAAAAGTCAGAGATGCAGTACAATTGAGGAGGAACCTGATGAGTCGGGTAACCAACACTTAACTGTAGTGCTGTGATTACCAACATCAATGTATGTTGAAGCTTTATTTCTAACCTAATGATGCCGAAACGACTGACAAGACTATAGGATATTCACTTTAACTGAACTTCATCACAGCACCAGAATAAGTGACCGTTCACGACTAAAACACTAAAATAGATTAGCTTTATTGAAACATGTTAGATTATCCCTTAAAATCGGTGGCATAAGTGGATAAATATTGAATACTATACTCTTGAAAGCGAAGTGCAACCATGAGGTACTAAAAGCCGTGTCACATGTTGTTATATATAAGCAGAAAGCCTCTGTTTCGTTGGGATAATATTCAATTTCTCAACATCCAATATAGTTCGAATGTAAATACGAACAGCAGAGAAACCACAGTGACATTTAGAAGCATACCTGCTGTGATGCTAATGTAATATCTGATGACAGCACACTATTTACACACTAAACCCGAGGAGTGAAATCTTTTGATGGTCTATATGGCGACATAATGTATACAGAACGGCTAAACTTGTCTTAAAATTCTATTTAAATTTCTTGAATACTCATAGTACCTGTCAAAGGCTAGGGCATTGAAGTGTAGTATTTCTTAAACAAGAACAGTGCTCGAACCGAAAACCCAGTCAGTGGAGAAGGTAGAAATCAGTGGAAAAATCAGTGACAGATACAGCAGTCCATTCTGAACAAGAAAATTTAGTGCACAACCAGTTTAGATGATGCTTTGTTACCTTGGAGAGTACCACGGGTACCTACTAGTAGTTGAATAAACAACGCCATACTTTTAAAATATGTATTGAAATCATAAAAGTAAAAAGTAGCTTCTCAATAAGTTCGTACAGCAACCCAAAAGGCAACATATAGGTACATTATGCGAAATATGGTAGGTCTTTTGAGAACTAAAAAATTAGCCAAAACAAGATGAGTGTACCTGATCTATAATAACTTGGATAGACTTTGAGTAGTCTTCTATTCTTCCTTTTAATTCCTGAGCGAGCTTCTCTTTTCTTATGCACTCAGCATTTAAGGCGTCAATCTCCTTGAACACCATTAGTATGGACTTTTAAATACCTCTTTTAAAGCATATTCCTGGCAGTATGTTGATAATGCGAGGCGCTTCTTAATAAACCATGAGTCCATTTGTCGGCAAGCGTCTAGAAGCGATGCCATATGTTTGTCATTTAGCCCATGTTGCGATTCTGAGATATCAGAATCATGCAAACCCGTCGAAGAAAGCACCATAAATATATTCTTGAACAAATAGACCTCAAGTCATCTCTTACATCTAACTGAGTTTCAAGATCCGAGAGAACTTTCGCGTCGGGGTCCATAGTCCTGGAATCAAATCAAGCAGACTTAAAGTATAAGATCGATCGAAAGTTTCAAACAAAGGCTATAATAGCATTTAGCAGATGGCGAGGCTAGCTGTTTACAAAACGATAAAATGTCAGGAGAGGAAGAACGATGTCATCAAGATTTTAGAGTTTATATACCAGTATTTTTTCTATGATATGAGACTTTGATTTGCTTGGTAGATCTTGTAGACTGTTTATTCCTTGCGTCTAAATAGTTAGAGTTTTCAGTGTATTTCTTTCAGCAGTTGAAGATAAAGCTATTTACTAAATAATGGAAGTGGAGTAATCCTACTTGGTATCCATAGCGCTAAAGTAACCTCTCTTCTAAGCTTTCAGTGGAAAGTGCCGTCACTTTGACTTTCAGGTAATAGGTTCTATAGATTGCTGATTTGAACCACACAAAAGTTTGCTCGTACTCCTCCTTGTTTCAACTTGTATGAATGTCATTTTAAGTGTGACTTACTACTGAAACGTATCAGTGGTTCTCCAGTCCTACGCTAGCCGTAAAGATCAGGGTTTTACAGGCAGGCTGATTGGGGTTTAGTTCTTAAGTTGGAGTACCTTCCTTATTGTCTTTCTTTCCACACGTTCCAAGCCAACAATATCTCTTATAAGGTAGGGAATATGGCCCCTGTGTTTTTTCCGAATGGGATTTTAAATAAACGCTGATAGTAGCTTTGAGTAGTGCGGAAATCGGCCTGCCACCTGTTCCTGAATGAAATACTAAATGTGAGCATATATTACTGACTGTAGACTCCCCAGAGGAAAAGATGGCAAGATTATCGCAAAAAGTGACGCTCAGGTTCTATTCAGTGGTGGGGAGTATAACACTGGGGTTTCCTAGAAAGTACGTGGTGAATAACATATCACTGACGCTCACCATTAACACTGTTTAGGATACAACGGATATTCTAGTTTTACAACTAGCAACCAGTAGTATCATCTATAATCGATCGTTCCCAGTCGAATAGAAACCAGAAGTCAGACGAGGAGAGGTAGGAAAGATATATTTGATACGTTACCAATATATCGAGGAACCTTTACTATAAGCTGGCTAATGAACGTAGGAGCAGTGTCCCATGATATAATAATGATAATAATGATACAATAGTAAATCTTCCACTGACTCTGGCTACCGCGAAAAGTAAAGAAATTGATCGACATTGAATTATGCGTCTGTAGTGACCGGCCAGTCTCGATAAGAACACGATTGGAATAACGGAAACAATTATTAGTATTTTAACCAATTGTACCAGAGATTGTTTTACTGTATTTGTTTAACTGCATCAGTTTCATTTCTGCTTTCGCTCTCCGCCTTTCACTCTCCGTTTGGTTCGAGCTTGCTCACGCACTGCTTATTCGCTTGTACTCTTTGGCACGTCTCGGTATTATTTCGATACCACGAGATCGCCAATAAATATACTTGATCTGGACTAGTAAAGCCTTCTGGTTTACGGGCTATCACGGGAACCAAGTCATATTTGTACGCGTAATCGAATAGTAGTGGTGATCATAGTCCGTCCACGACTCGACATCTACTACAACTGGTGAGCCGTATTTGGAACACGCAATACAGCTGGTAACCCAATCCATCGAGCACAAGTCAAACTTGGCCAATTCTCCAAACCAGATCAATCCGGTGAGTCTATTTATCTATCCACATCTGTTGCATATATTCGTATTGATATTTTTCAATATATAGTATTTTGGCAACTTAATATGGTAGATAACGATAAGAATAACATAAATATGATAGACTCCGAGATACAGGTTATCAGTTTTCGACCGGTTCCTTTCATCCCTCATGATCCAGAAGTCTGGTTCGCGGCACTGGAATCTCAATTTGAGATCCGCCGCATAACCAATCAAAGGCAGAAATACGCCTACGCTTTGGAATCATTGCCCGGGGATCACCTAACCGCTGTCCGTGAGGTTGTCCTCAATCCGAACGTTCCGAACGTTTATGACCGTCTTAAGGATGCCATCCTTCGACATTTCCTCTCATCAAGAGAGGAACAATTGAGGGCACTTTTAGCACGTCACCCTATGGGTGATGCTAAGCCGAGCCACCACCTCACGCGCCTGCAATCCCTTGCAGGAAACATGACAGCTGACTCTGAGATAGTCAAAGAGTTGTGGCTCGAAGCCTTATCAGTCAGTATCCAGCCAACCCTTACGGCTCTGCTCGAGGACACCCCGCTCAACAAGGTGGCCCTCATAGCAGATAAGATTCTAGCACGAGTTAACACCAAAGACGACTATTTGGTTGCTAGTACTTCCCGTTCTAACATTGATCTCGATGCTAGACGACCTCCGGCTCATGGGGATAGGGACAGATGTATCCATACTCGTCTCAGTTTCCGAGACCGCGCAAATATGCCAGCCCCCTACGTCCCCCGACCCAGGTCACAATCTCGTAAGGCCGTAACGACTCGCCCCAAGCGGGCATCTTCCAAACCACGCCAGAAGGCGGTTTCGGAAGCGAGTCCAGGTTGGTGCTGGTTTCACCGTGCTTTCGGAGCCGGTGCCCGTCATTGTCGAGCTCCCTGCTCATACAAGGCGGGAAACTTCTCAGCCGGCGAGTAAATGCGGCCGTACTCGCCGGCACTTCACCTCAGGTTGGCCGTTTATTTTATGTGCACGATTATCGCACCAACGCTAGGTACCTTGTGGATACGGGTGCCCAAGTTTCTGTCGTACCTATCGGTAACAGTAAGTCTCAAGCCACTATGCTTCGACTACGCGCTGCGAATGGCTCAGTCATTCCCACCTATGGTACACGACAACTTACGGTCAACCTGAGCAACCGACGACAGTATCTGTGGACGTTCATCATTGCCGATGTTCCCACAGCTATACTCGGTATCGATTTCCTACAGCACTATGAATTGCTAGTCGATTCACGTAGGCTGCAGCTAATTGATACTTCGTCGAACAGCAACTTTATGGGCTCTAAAGCCCACATAAACGCGTACCGAATCACAGGTGTATTTCATTCGCGTGACGATTTATTCCACGTTTTATTTCAGAAATTCCCCAAATTAACTAAACCTTTCGAGGAGACTCCATTGGTAACCAATCGTGTGGTACACCACATAGTCACCCGCGGACCACCAGTCACGGCAAGACCTCGCCGACTGGCACCGGACAAATTAGCTTTCGCTAAACGTGAGTTCGACAATTTACTAGCTACTGGTATTATTCGTCCTTCTCACAGTCCTTGGGCCTCACCTCTCCACATGGTTCGAAAAAAGGATGGGGTTAGTTGGAGACCATGCGGAGACTACCGAGCGTTAAACGCAGCTACACGTTTCGATAGCTATCCCATCCCCCACATATATGACATCACGGCATCACTCAAGGGCACGACAATTTTTTCCAAGATCGATCTGGTACGAGCATACGACCAGATCCCAGTCGCTCTTGAAGATATAGAGAAAACTGCCATCACGACTCCTTTCGGTTTATTTGAGTTCCTACGAATGCCATTTGGATTACGGAATGCTGCTCAAACTTTCCAAAGGTTTATCGATAGCATTGTACGAGACCTAGATTTTGTTCACGTCTATATTGATGACCTGCTAATCGCATCATCAAACGTAGATGAACATTATCAACACCTGACGCTACTATTCCAGCGCCTTTCGGATAATGGAATAATAGTCAACCCCGACAAGTGTGAACTCGGGAAGAAGGAAATAAAATTCTTAGGTCATGTTATTAAGCATGAGGGTATTCTACCTTGCGAGGATAAAGTACGTACTATAATGGAGTACACTGTACCGTCCACACTCAAGGAACTGAAGGCATTTCTCGGTTTGGTCAACTTCTACCGACGCTTCATTTCGCACGCGGCAGAACAGTTACGACCGTTAACCGATTTACTTCGCGGTAATCCACGCAAACTGGAATGGAATGACGCCGCACGTACTGCATTTTCAGATATCAAAACAGCCCTAGCTCAAGCCACACTTCTCGTGCATTCTGACCCATCAGCCACGCTTAGTATAGCGGTTGATGCGTCGGATTTCGCCATAGGAGCCGTTATGCAACAGAATATCTCCGGTAGTTGGCAGCCCCTCGAATTTTTCTCACGACGCCTCACTCCCACGGAGACGAGATATAACGCTTTTGGTCGCGAACTGCTAGCAGCCTACTGCGCCATCAAACATTTCCGGCACGCTGTAGAAGGTCGTAATTTCATCTTATTCACCGACCATAAGCCCTTGACGTATGCTCTGCATACCAAGTCTGACCGCTACTCACCACGAGAGTGCAGACATTTAGACTATATCTCCCAGTTCACGACAGACCTTCGTCACGTCAAAGGCGAGTCGAACTGTGTTGCTGATGCTTTATCACGTATCCAACTTAATGCAGTTACTTTGCCAGTGCTTGACCTACCTGCTATGGCCGCCGCCCAAGCAAACGATACTTCATGCACGGAAGCACAACAGTCTACTTCCCTTCAGTGTCGGGAAGTACCCCTAGCTACTAGCTCAGGTACTATCCTATGTGATACTTCTACGGGCCTCCCTCGACCCATCGTACCCTCCGCTTATCGCCGTCTCGTCTTTGATGCCCTTCATGGTTTATCTCATCCTGGTATCGCAGCCACTTTACGCCTCATCGCTGCACGATACGTCTGGCCGTCCATGAATAAAGATGTCCGTATGTGGGTAAAGCAATGCTTACAATGTTAACGATCAAAAGTGCACAGGCACGTAGCTGCCCCTATTGGCACTTTCGCTACGCCTGATGCTCGCTTCGATCACGTTCACATAGACATTGTAGGACCATTACCACCATCGCACGGGTATGATCACATACTCACGTGCATTGATCGTTTCACAAGATGGCCCGAAGCTACCCCCATCACGTCTATTACGGCGGAGACAGTTGCTCACCGCTTCGTAGAACGATGGATAGCTCTGTACGGTTGTCCCTCGACTGTCACGACTGACCGAGGACAACAATTTGAGTCCGCATTATTCTCCTCACTAACACGGCTGCTTGGTACGGAA